AAAGGTATGCTCTTCCTCCAGCAAAAGAAGGAGCAGGAATGGAATTCAGATAGGGGTAGGCCAACCACTTCTGGTGCTGCACCACCACTAGCATGTGCTTCTCCAAAAGCCCAAGAACATGCTTGATTTTTTAAAAAAAGTATTTCCCCAGCGTTCTGCTGCAATCTTGTGTGTGTATATATGCACCAGCCAAGTGAAGTTAACACTTGAGGAGTCTCCATGACCTCAGAGGAGAAGTGGTGCAGTTCTTTCGAAGCCATCTGTGATGTGCGGGAGGCCCCTTTGTCGCTTACTTGGAACACATTTCTGAGGCTGGAGCTGGGACTCCAAATACTCTTATAGCCATCTAGATAGTGTCTGGAGGCCATAGAATTATGCTGTAAATTATTTACCTCAAGGTACCATTGGGCTGTTTTACATGGACTTATTTCTTAAACCAAGGGTCCTCAAACTTTTTCACCAGGGGGCCAGTTGAAAGGTGCCAGTGCTGGGCACAGGCTGGAAAGGTGGTGCCGGCGGGGTGTGCTGGCCAGCACGCGGGTGCGGCGAGGCGTAGGCGGGTGGGTGTGTGCAGCAAGGGGAGGCAAGGCAGGGGCAGGCACGTGCCATGATGCAGTGTCTTCTCCTAGTGAGTCCAAAACAATCTTGTGAGCAAGTCGTTACCTCCCCATGCAGCCGGCAAGGCGGGCAGCAGTGGGCGCATGTGTGGTGCGTTGAAAACCTCTGAGGCATGGCGGGCTAGATCCAGCCCCCAGGCCACAGTTTGAGGACCCATGTCGTAAACCAAAGATGGGCCCACTGCACTCCACCATATACTTTCTAGCTCTGACCCTGTGCTTAGCTTTCCTTGGGTGCTGAAACATTTCACATTGGGCCAGTACTTCTATTTAACTTCCTCTTACAAATGAATGATTAAGCAGAGAGAAGCAGCTTGCCGAAGGTCACTCACTAACAACAATTTTGGCCTTGTGGATTTAGCAGAGCTGTAGCATTATGGGCTTTGTTTTCAATGTGGTGGGAGGCAAGGAAAGGTGTTTAGCTATCCAGTCATATACCTGCTTTCTTTGAAGGAGGCAACAGGGTTTTCCCAGTTAGGCTTACATAAAGTTGCAGGCTTAGGAGAACCTCAGTCTGCCCCCTTTAAAAATGCAGGCCCAGCCAGCTGCCTGATCCAGGGTTCCTCTCTTAACATGTCTGCACACATGCTGGATATTTCTCTGCAGTTTACACAGTGGGCTGATTCCATTGTGGATTCTACAGTAGAAGCCTTCTAGCCCATGGTCAAGAGTCTCGAAGAATCTTCTGATGAAGTAGTCAGGGAAACAGTGCAGCAGCATTAAGGATGCCTCTGCTGTCTGTGGCTGACCTGTCAATAAGGAACATTTTCAGCAGGGGAAAAATACAGGATCGCAAGGGAAAGGATTCTAGAAAGTTCACAAGATGCCAAATGGCTGTTGGAGGACCCCACTGCTCTGCTTCACTTTTAAGAAAAGCATAGCACATTCAGACAGTAGCAGATGACTGTGTGCCCCTGTTAAAGTAGGAATGCTTGCAAACTTCTTGTCTTCCCAATTTCTCCAAAGTTCAGGTTTCATTCAAACCACTGGTCTCATTGACCAGCACCACTGCACTGCTTTTACGTATTGTAGGGCTTTGTTCTGACTTTGGAATTCACTGCAGTTAGGATTTCCCAGTACCACTTACAGGTGACTGATGGACCTCAGTGCATGTGCACACTGGTTAAATCAGAGTGCAAGAAGGGATTATGATGTGTTTACATGAATACACAGAGGTTTCTTTAGGCGCTATTATTTACTCAACTGAACACTGTCACTTGTGTTCATCATTAAACTAAAAGTAAGGGGGGCTTGCACATTAAAACCTGCAACAAATTCTAGACTAACCCATTGTAAAATTCATTTCACAAATTATGTACGTTAAACCATAAGTCAGGCAGAAGGCATCTTTAACAGAGGAATAATAGAAAATGAGAGTGCTTCTTCATATGTTTAGCACTCATCCACGCATGCATGCCTGACATTTGAAGACTGCAGGGTATAATGATGACTTTGCCTTTTTTAATATACCTAACAGTGAATACTGCACTACAACTGGTATGCTACTTGCATAGGTAAATCAGCAATCACAGATCAAATGCATTAAGTTTTCACTGCACTTCAAAAACACAATATTTTTTAGTAGAGTTAATTTATACATTCACTGAACATCAAGTAATCTAGTGTCACAAATCAAATGGGCATGCATAAGTAAACCAATCAATGGAAATTTGAAAGGGAGCAAAAGACCATTTACTATTTTTGGTTGTTGTTTTGGATATGCTTGTTTAGAAAAAATATAAAAATCCATCCATCACCTGCTAACCCAATGACAGATCAACCTCTGTAATACAGAACAGCAGGCTGCAAGGAAGAGCAGGGAATGCATGGAGTTTTAAATATATTTTTATATTTAAATTTAAACCTAGCAATACTGAGAAAGCAAATTCTAACCTTAATCAAAAATTCTATAATCACTAAACAACCCAACTGTTTTGCACTTGCAAACTGTGTTGCTTGGAATGTAGGGAAAGTTATTCTGTGCTGATGTGAACAACTCAGCACAGGGTCTAGTGGTGATCTTTCACTATGCTGAGCCAAACAAGAAAGAAAGGAGATTGCAATGGTATGACAAACATTGCTATAGCAAGCAAGATTCAAAGAGAGATCAGGATCTGCTGCACAATTTCAGGGTGCTTTGCAGATCAGCATGGGTTTGATGCCCAATAGTTTAACAAGAGCAACATCATAAATACCCACCCCCAGGTAGGGACTGAAGAAAGATTACTGGAGGAACTAGGAGATTTTTGTATAAAAGAACTTCATTTCTTAGTACCAGTACCAGTTCATTTCTGGTACTAAAAAGGGGTTGGGGTGAAGATTTGGAGTTTTCTAAAACTTCAAAGTACAACTGGTAGCTTCTTACTAGAACACCAGCAACATTTAGTGTTGGCAAGATATTCAGTATTATTGAATAAAATCAAGTTGGGGTTCTTCAGTTCTCCATATTGCAAAAATTGACTTTGCTGCCTTGACAGGGTTCTGCTGTTAAATGTGGCCTTAAAATAATCCTTGATTGATTGATTGATTGATTAAAGTTCTTTCCATTGCAAAGTGGCAAGATTAGTGGATTTAAAAAAAAAAAGATTATTTCTGCCTTTTCCTATATTAACTTCTTTTGTTACACCATGCCTGCATTTGACTTAGGATAGTGAGGTCAAACTGGAAATATGTCCTGGTTATTAGCCATCCCGAAGCCCTTTAAACAGACTATGAATATTCAATGAATTTAAATTGGGAAGGCTCTAGTAAGCTCAGTTGATTCTCCACGTTGGGGCAACCAAACTTTCCTGTAGGTGGGCTAAGCAGCTCCCAGAAAACAGGTTCAGCACCTTCTCTTGGATAGCTCCCCAGGTAAAGAAACCGGCTGGCAGTTATTCTAGTTTTCTCCAATTTCCAATTTGTGATCCAGACATAAATATTTACAGCTATCAAAGCTGTTTATCCTGGCAGAGTTACTTCATCTTGGATGTAACATTTCCTTCAGTGCTGGATGCTGTACAGGACACACAAACATGGCGGTTCTTTCCCCAGGAATCATACAGTCCCTGTAGAAAGGGCAGAATGGGTTTAATTAAATACTGTCAACACTTAATAATTTTACAGGCTAAGGGGGAAAAAGAGGCTCTGCACACACACCAATATATGAGTTGCTTGTGATCCAAATGTTGATACTTCGGAAAGAAAAGATGAATGATGAATATGAATAAATGCACTTACATATACTAAAGTTTGTTTCTGTTGATGACTGTGGTTTTACATATTTAAAATATCTACTTTGAAAGATCCTATTTTATACCAATAGTGACCCTAAAGAGACTCTGCACACCTGTCACCAGAGCCCCTGAACATTACAAATTATCCTGGGTGCAGATGCTAAGCAGTGTTTCCCAACCTGATGACCTCTACTATGTTGAACTACTGCTCCCATCAACACAAGCAGCATAGCCAAGGGCACTTTTTGAGGGCAGCTACTTGGGGGAGACTGCTTTAAATTCAGGAGCAGGTGGCATAAAACTCTGCCTAAGCTTCTTGGTCTTCATCTCTTACCCCCCCCCCACCTCCCTGGGGAACTAAGAGTGCTTGGTCATAGCCTCTTGTCCTTACATCTTTCTGGCAAGAATGGCAGACACCTGGTTAGAGAACCAAGACACCTGGTTAAGGATGCCATGGTCCATCCAGTCCAAGGGTCTTTTTTCAATGGACAAGTCAAAAGCCCCTGGGTAGCATTTGTAAAATAGGTTTTAGGCTAGAAAAATTATCCATTTGGGTTTTAATCTAGATCTGGGTTCAAGTCCCTGCTTGGCCACAGAACTTACTAGATGATTATGGGCTAATCACAGACTCTCAGCCTGACCTACATCACAGAGTTGTTGTCATGAGTATAAACAAAAGCTGCCCTGGGTTCCTTGCCAGAAGAAAAGAGGTGGGATGAAATGCAATCTAACAACAGTAGCATGAAGAAGAACGGCAAAAACAAGTAGCTGTGTCAGTCCTAGCCCTTAAAACAATTACATAGGCTGGGCTGACCCTGAAATCCACCCCAGGGATCAAGAAGTGCCTTTCCAATCAAACCACAATCTGCCCACTTCAGCAATCAGAGACAGGCACTCTGGGTGCTCAGAAGTAGGAGATGAAGTTGAAGAGCACCCCACAGTTCTCACACACAGCGCCTGGTAATTACAGTCAAGTTGCCTATGAGCAAAATGCTTTCTTTTGACCACCATGACTGTTGCCTCTGCATGAATATATCAAATAGATGCCCCAAATCTCTGCATCTTATGCTAGGAAATCTTGCATTTTGTGCAGCAGCAGTTGGGATGTGGGCAGCTCAAGCGCCTGACTCCCTTTCCGGTGCGGACTGTTCCTCTTCTCTCTCTGCAGGTCCCTTGCATTAGGCCAACAGTATACTTCACTGGGCTCCCAGCCAATCTTGTGTGGGTCCATTCCTGGCTTAGTACCCAAGCAACTTCGGTTCTGCCGCAACTACATCGAGATCATGCCCAGTGTAGCTGAGGGCGTGAAGCTGGGAATCCAGGAGTGCCAACATCAGTTCCGGGGGCGGCGCTGGAATTGCACCACAATTGATGACAGCTTGGCCATTTTTGGGCCTGTTCTAGATAAAGGTACAGCATAAGAGGGTGGGACTGGGAGGGCACGTCAAGCTGCGGGTTCCCAATTGCACTCTTGGCATCTTCTGTTATGAGAAAGCCTGTGGCAGCAGGACTGAGAAAGGCTTCCCTCTGCCATTGGGAAGGGTCCAGGTAGTCAGCAAAGAGTTGGATGAGCCAAAGACTCTAGATGGCAAATTCATGTGTTCATACAGAATTTATAGAAATTCTGCAGAAATTGGATGAATTGGAAATACGAATTCAAAACTTCAAAGTTAAAAACTGATTATGTGGGGGTTTGTATGTTTTTAAAAAATGAATTTAACACCTAAATTCCTATGTGGGGATGTATTGGGTTAGAAGTAATTGCTTGATCGTTTTATATCAGAAAAACAACCAAAAGCAGCACAGAGAAACTGTCCCAAATATTACTGCATGAGCAAAGAGAGAGAAACCTACCTTCAAACTACTCAGAAAATCAGATAGAAGATAACTATTTACAAAGTAGGAATTAATTGAAATGGGCTTAAAGTTGTGCCATTTGTAGTGCCTTTCCAGCTGGAAAGTATTTTACCACTACCATTCTCCCTAAATAGCTTTTCCTTTGATTCTAAGTTTATACCATCAGTCCAAAAGATCACTGTATTACTACAAGTCCTGGTACACAAAGCACCTGACCCTCTATCAAAAATGCCTGTGCAAGTTCCATTGAAATAAATGAAAAGCTATGCAAGAAGCTGCCCAGCTCCTTCTCCATTTAATTGCTTGTACAGTGGAAAATGCCCAAGGTTTGCTGTAATATACACCATTATATATTTGTATTTATTTAATTGGATGGGAGCTATTGATCGTAAAAATAATGCAATTCTTAACCATACATTATTTTGCAGTGCTGTCCGCTTACCCTTTTTCCTCCCTCATTTTTTCTAACCGAACAATGTAGCTTTAGAGTGCAAATCACTATACTAAGAGATGGCTCAGCCTAATGGGCACCTGCAAACACGTTGGAACATTGTCTTCACCATCTTGGAAACATGGGGACATCTGGGTAAAACTCCATAGACACAATTGTAAGCCCACCTTGGTAAATTCCTACTTGTTTATTGATCATCTCTATCTGTCCTTAGGGCAAAGGCACCAGAAGAGAGATAGATTACCTCTGCATGTAAAACCAAAGATATGAGCTACCAAGCAACTTAGATTTTGCCAATGTGTGCCAAGGCTAGAGAAGTAGTAACAGCTGTTAATTGTTTTGAATTTGCCAGCAGAGCATGGCTCCCAATTGGCTGTGATCTTCAGAGGAGTCCCATCCAAGGTGGGCCACCTCAGTGCGACCACAACTGTATTCTGTTGTTGTTGTTGTTGTTACTCGCGAAGTTGTGTCCGACCCATCGCGACCCCATGGACAACATTCCTCCAGGCCTTCCTGTCCTCCACCATCCCCCGGAGTCCACTTAAGCTCACACCAACTGCTTCAGTGACTCCA